GCATGCGATCTGTACATTTCACCTCATTTAACAGCTTGAAGAACGTTCCAAATTTTTGCCACTTTTATTGATGTCAACAAATTCCACCAACACATTTCAGGTGTCAAGATCCATACAGCAAACCATGAATCACCCGAGTCAAAATCAATAGTACAAACGCCAATAAAAGGTGTACACACAAAATGTTTAAAAATCTAAAAACTCCACAACCAATTTTGCCATCTAGATTCTAAAATACCGCATGACGCAGCTAGCTAGCTAGGCCATTTGATCCAAAAGTTCTACAAGAGCTACAAGTTTTTGGCTAGTCAACAGAATTTATATTCTAATGAGTGCTATGCTCTGATGTTTATGTATCCAAATAAAATGTGATTGTCCAAGTAAGGCAATGCAGGAAATAGTGTCACAAATGTAAACCAGGTTAATTCAATTTTATGCTACGAAATAAAAGTGGATTCAAACTTCAGTTAGTTCACCATATAGTTTCCTGTAATTGGCTTACTAGCAACTAGAAATGCAGTAGATGGTCACTAACCATGTTGCAAGATGTAGCCATTCGATCACCGTTCCAAAGACGCCGGCGAGCACTCTGCAGTATTGGACAGACCAAGCAAGACACCCTGAGAAACAATTTGAACAGAAAATTAGACCATCTGTTCAGCATCTAGAATTCCTCTACAACAAAAGCATGCCTTGGCACGTGATTGATGGGCTTATGTACTTGGAACTCAGTACGATGTCTAATTACACAGAAGAAATTTCCATATATGCAAGCCAAATCAGAAACTAAAGCCAATACTCACAGAATATCGTGGAGCATATCTTGATGATGGTTTGAATAGACCAGATTGTGAGAATGCATCAATTCCCTATTTAAGCAAGAAACAAAAACCAGTTATCTAAAGATAGAAAATAATAAAATGAACAAAGAACTGTTAAGCAATTGTATAAAGCTTCCAAAAGAAGGAAGAGGAACATATATATTTATTTTTCTCATTCCATGTACTGCAAGAATCATACCTGACTGCATGCCATACATAGAACAGCCATTGCAGGAGAATTAATATGGCTCAACTGAGTGAGGAAGAAAGCAGGTCCAAGAAACCCCCTTCCTTTTAGTCTCAACACATTAGCTCCAGCTTCACAAAACTCAGTAGCAATTCTGTATGACCTCCTGAAAGGGGAAAAAAACGATTCAGCTCTTTCCCAAGACCCCAAGCAAAACCCCAATTCACTTCTCTAACCCCATATACAAATTACACAAACCCAAATACCCAATTCACCAAATGGCCTAAAGATTTCAAATTTATAGTAAGACAGAACCCATATCGAAACTCAATTGAAAATCAAATAAAATTTGAAAGGTTGTTTCAGCTAATACAAGAGAGAGAGAGAGAGAGAGGAAACCATTTGTCATCGTCGGAGAGGAGTGGTCGTCGTCGCCGGTGGTTTGTGGATGAGAACGCAGCTAGTGTAGATCACGATGAAGCATTTGACTTACGTTGAATGAAGCGTTAGGTTTTTGTTTTTTGTTTTTTTTTTTTTTTTTTTATATATTTGGGCCTAAGTGACGCTGCCAATCCTCACTCAATAAAATTTCAATCCTCACTTTCATGCTCTGTGACGAATGTGCATTATTCGTCACATTTAGTAAAAAATTGGGCGCCAAGATTTCCCGCTATGTAATTTGTGACGACACCGAAATTATAATGTGACGAAGATGGAGCGAAATTTTGTTAGGTCCTTCCAAGACGTTTAGGTGACGACTTGCAAAATTTTCTCACTTATACAAGCCAAAGGTGACGAAATTTTCAGCGTCACATAAAATTTGGTCACAGAAGGCATGTTTTCTTGTAGTGTGCGTCATTCTTCCTAGATACTCTTTGGGTGTTCTTTGACGTTTGTAATTTGTGACAATTCATATAAGAAATGTTAATGGGCCTATTGCTCAAAGGTAAATCAAACTTAATATTAAAGAAAATTTTGGTTATAAATATTAAGGATATAGTGAATGAACTATTTCCTTTTTGGGTTGGTAAAGTGAATTTAAATTTGGGAGCTGGACTTTGAGGCCCAATAGTGGGGCCCGAAAATAGCACAAAACCCACCCATATAGAAAGTCAATTAAAAAACCCAAAGTCCATGTTCAAAAACAAAACGGCACTAAACAAGCCTATAAATTACAACATTGCCACCAAATGAAGTCCTAAACCCTTAAAATATCCAAACTAAATTACAACTTTAACACCACATTTTCAAAACAAAAACCCAAACTGAAGCCCAGCCCAAGTTTCATTAAAAAGAATATAGATATCAATGAAGTTGAAAAAAACAAAACAAAATAAAAACAACAATATTAGTACACTTTAACAAATGGTAATATCACCATATTCAAATGCAACTTATAATCCAAAGGCAACTTATATCTGAAGGCAATTTATAATCCAAAAGCAACTTATAATTCGAAGGCAATTTATATACGAAGACAACTTATAATCTAGAGGCAACTTATATCCAAAGACAACTTTAATCCAATGGCAAATTATTATCGAAGGCAACTTATTATCAGCATGAAACTTATAATCCAAAGGCAACTTATAATCCGAATGCAAGTTATTATCGGAAGGCGACTTATTATCCAAAGGCAACTTATAATCCGAAGGCAACTTCGGCCTCCTCCAACCTATTTGGTCCTAAGCCCAAATTTCCCTCCTCCAAAATGTAACTATTTCAGTTTTGCCTGGACTCAAACCGTTTTTCCTCTATAACCTTTCAAACCCAAATTTTAAGTCCGCGACTTTATTAAGTTGTTTAAGAATCGTTTAAGTTTAATTTTTGTTTAAATGGATAACTTATCTTCAATAAGAATGAAAGGAGATTGATGAAATTGACAAAGGGAAAATAAATTGAGAAATAGAAAATATTTTTGGTAGATTATTTGAGAAATGGATGGGTATTTATGGAGTTTGGAGTGAGTTTTCGGGTTGGATCTAATTTAGATTAATTTAAAATATTTTTGACCATTTGATTTAAATTTCAACCGTTGAATCTTCTTTTTTTTACCGTTAAAATAGCTTGGATTTAATCTAGATCGTTGATTTAGGTTACTGTTTAAAAAAAAGGAGATGTTTAAATTGTGCCTTTGGATTCCAACGACAACATCACAAGCTTTCGACATGTGGCGTGATAGCTTCAGCAGCACAACAGTGATGGGGCCCATTGTTTCCTCCTCGCACATGGGCAACATCATGGCTCAGTGTGCTCCACACACAAAAATTCTAGTCTAGGCAATAGCTGGACTGGTATTCCGCCCCAATTTTGAGTTTTCCCAAATTTTAGCCCCTTACTTTTCTTGGGTTGAAAGAGGAATTTGGCTAAAATTTAGGATCTTTTGGGTTTGGCCTACTCGGTTGGAGATGGCCTTATTATCCGAATGCAACTTCTAATCCAAAAGAAACTTATAATTCAAAGTCAATTTATATATGAAGGCAACTTATATCCGAAGGCAACTTATAATCCGAAGGCAAGTTATAATCTGTAGGCAAGTTATAATTCGAAGACACTTATTATTCGAAGGCAACTTATAATCCAATGACAACTTATAATACAAAGGCAACTTATAATCCATGAGCTCCACATATGTGCCACATCATCAATTTAACAAAGGTTGACGACATGGACCAAATTGATGTACATAGGCTTTTTATCACAAAATGTCCCTAAGGTTTGCGAAACTATCATATTGCATCATTTATGTTTTTTTTTGTGTCATTTATGATCCTTAAGGTTAATACGTGTGCTCATAAATAGTCCTTGCCCTTACGTTCCGTCCAAAAATCTATTAAATTGATGATGTAGCACACATGTGGGGTCTCACATATCCAATGATATGATGCCACATGGATTAAATAAAAATAATTATATTTCAAAAAATAATTTCAAATTATAAACCATTAAAAAAAAATTCACCACCTCCTCCATTGCACCAAACCCCTACATCCAGCCTCCTTCCAACCCACTATCCCAAATCAACACCCACAACAGCCAACCCAAACCTTGATATGTTATGAACTCCCCCTCACCCACTACCCATCTAATCTCCACCACCAAAGACCAAAATTGTATGTTGTAATTATTTATATAATACAAAAATGGGTGAAATTACATGAATTCTTGCTTGTTTGTGAATTTTCAAGGATAAAATTTTGGTACTCGATTCTATTTTGTTGCTGCCTTCTTCGAAGTTGTTGGTAGAGTCAAGGCCTTCATGGTTTATAAAGAGAGGAGAGGGGGAGGGGGAGAGTGGAGTTTAGGGTTGGTTGATGTCATATCATTGGATATGTGAGACCCACATGTATGCCACATCATCAATTTAATAGATTTTTGGACGGAACATAACATCAAGGACTATTTGTGAGTACACGTATTAACCTTAAGGACCACAAATGACACAAAAAATTATAAAGGACGCAACTTGATAGTTTCGCAAACCTCAATGACGTTTTGTGATAAAAAGCCATGTACATATAGTAACCTTAAGGACCAATTGTGTCACAAAAAAGCTTAAGTATGAAAAGTGATAGTTTTGCAAACCTCAGAAACCATATTTGTGATAAGAAGCCTATTTTAAAAGGGCTTGTCCAATATAGCTCCATACAATTTCTATTTCCTAGACACATACCCATCATTCTATAAATCTATGTGTAAAACTCATTTTCAAACTTAAATGACCAGTAGGATATAAGAGGTCATAGTATTCCTATGTTTTTACATTGTTGCCATCAGACTTCATATTTTATTTATAATTTATTCCAAACATTTCATTAACTACCATAAATTGTAATTAAAACTCCCTATTAATAGCACATCAATCACCCCATTTCGTTTGGTTGTCATTCCCTCTAACATATCGCCCCCTAAAATTGCAAACCAATTTTTTTTTGTAAATTACATATCCAATAATGTACATATGAAAAATATAAATATAAATATATACGTATAAAAATATAGGTATATTATTTACCAAAAGAATTTAATAAAACTAGGTCAGTTACTTGTAATTGAAATTTTCGTACATTTTTCATAAATTAAAAATAGGTACACAATAATTTATAGAATATAGGTACATTGTATAATTGAATTTGTGCACATTTTTTATAAATAAAAAATAGGTACATTATTTAGAAGAAAAAAAAATTAGTTCATTATGCTAGGTAAATTATTTTACTAGGTATAAATTATTAGAGAAAAAAAATAGGTACATTATTTAAAGAAAAAAATAGGTTCATTTTTTAAAATATTCATAAAACAAAAATAAATAGATTAAAAATAATTTTTCATAAAACAAGTAATAGGTACATTATTTAGGAAAAAAATAGATACAAAATTTAGCGGAAAAATAGGTTCATTATACTAGGTAAATTGTTTTACTAGGTACATTATTAGAGAAAAAAATAGGTACATTATTTGGAGATAAAAATAGGTTCATTTTAAAAAACAAACAGTAAGAAGATGATCAAATTATTTTTCATAAAACAAGTAATAAGAGCTTTATTTAGATTAAAAAAAATACATTATAAATTAAAAAAAAAAAAAAAAAAAAAAAAAAAAAGTTATTTAGAGAAAATAAGGTTCATTTCAAAAAACGTTTTTCAAAAAACAAACAATAAATAAATTATCAAATTATTTTTAACATAATTAGAATGTACACTATTATTCATAAAACTATAATAAAATAGATTAGTAGTCGTATAATTCATAAAAGGAAAACAACATAAATAGAACCAAAACGTTAATGTTGAATTTAATATTTAATTTCAAATAAGTTTCTAAATTAATTCCTGCATTCATTACAACCATTTAGAGATATTTCTAAATCAACGTGTGCCATTAGTTACACCCTCCCCCCGCCGCGCATAACACATTAACTTATAAATATGGGTAGTTTAGGAATCTGAAAAATACAATAAATCAGATTTTAAGTTATTGCTTAGTTAGATCCTAGTCATCGGGTATTATTTGAAAAAATTAGGTATTTTAATTTTAATTTTTTTTTATAAAAAAAGGATTGTAAGTGATTTAAAATGAATTTTATGGGTCTAAACTCAATTTCCTAATTTTAAAACTAGAAGTATTGAGTCATTTAGCTATAGCTAACCAACCGCACCGAAGTCAACAACTTTAAGAGACTCTTTTTCATTGGCGGATGGACAAAAAGGTGAACTAACAACTAGTACAACACCTAGACCTCAAATGGGTCGTCAAGTTTTTCCTAACTACATCTTAGTAAATCAATAACAACACAACCATACAAAAGCCTGTGTCTGTAAGGCGATCAAGTTCACGTGTGCTTGTTGATCATGTGCCTTCGAACCTATATGACTTGTCACTTTTTTTTTCTTTTACACAGCAATATTCTAAACTATTCTAATGTATAAGGAAGGGGATCGAACTCAGGTGCAAGGGGCGAGCACTACTTTAACCAAAAAATTTACAAACTCCTATAACTTTACATCTCATCCCCTCTTTGGTTTTTAAATGTCTGTTTGTAAAGAATGGCATGGCAAAGCAAAATAGAAACCAAGACAATAATAGGTAGGTAACTACCACAGCGAGAGTTTTAATGGAAAACTACAAATTGACCCATACCGGTATCTGACATATTTTTATTTTTCAACAGACTTTTACAGCATTTAAACCAAAAATAAATGAGGTTGTTCCCTCGGGAATCAACGTTATAAATTATAACCATAGGCTGGTATCTCTTCCACATCAAATTTCATAAGCTTTATTTCCACACACTAAGATGGCAACTTGGAAATCGTTTGTCATAGCTATCTTTGTCATCGCTTCATTACTTTCAAGCACACATTCAGCTTTCGCTGCCCCTCGAAAACTCTTAGCCCCTACCTTTCCTCGTTATAAGCTGCCCAAGATCCCCAAGATCCCTAACCTCAAGTTTCCTCCTCTGACCCCCACACCTTTATGGCCAGAATATAGGTTGCCTCCCCCTATTATTACTTCACTTCCAAATTTCCCATCAACTACCACATTTCCGTTCTCTCCACCTTCAATAACCACCACACCTTAATAAAAATGGTGTATACATATATGTCTCTGATGAATATCTCAGAAGTTCTCCATGCAAGCCACCAGTTCTTTATTAAATAAAGGCTGTGCATCGATATTGTTGAAATAATATATGTGCATCGATATTATTGAAAATGTATCGATATGTCAGTACGTTTCGTTGGCTACAATTATATCTGCATATTATCAGTGGCATAATGACGGTTTCCATTTCGCGGCCGGACAGTAATATTTGGGGTACTACTATATCTATATGCAGTTAAATAAAGGTTCATATTCACATAAGCCTTTCATATGGTGTTGCATACCTAGATGCAAGATCTATTTTAGGGATTTCTGGAGAACTATATGGACCACTCGTGTGTTTACCAATATTGTTTTGTCCTATTATTTGTAGTATTGCTATGAGTGAGAATATCACTACTTTGTTCGTTCTTGTTGAATTGTAGGGATATAATTCCTACTAGCTACTATTACTTATTATGCTCGTTTTATGTATGTATGGATTTATCTAATTTACAACATTAATGCTTAGGATTATTATGGAGGGTATGAGAGGGATGCTCATTATACTACCACAAAGAGAAAGGCATGCCTTGCAATTTGGATGCCTCTGGTTTTCGATCACCATGATGAGCTTTGATGTTTTACTTTTCATCAGCTGAACAAAGTTTGACATCTATAAAACGAGTGAAAGAAAAATCCCCTATTAGAATTCTTTAAGCATGATTTGATTCGGAGACTAGTGGAAAAGGACCTTGACTAGACCAAGTCTCCTGTTCAAACCCCTATGGCACTTTGGCATTTGTGTGTGAGAAAACACACCCCTCCCTAAAGATTATGCTTAACCAGAGATTAACTAGCAGCAATTTTTTTTAAAAAAAAGAAGTATTAAGTAACCAAGCTAAATACAAACCAATACTTTGCATTACTTTTGTTAGGGCAAATTAATTAATATTTCTCATGGTGAGATTAGAAAAAGACAAACATATATTTTATGAACCGGCTATTTATGGCAAGTGATTCTGTAGAAGCTCTGGTTCTCAGATTACTCCGTGAGAATTGACACACTATATCGAACCACCGCAAACACAAGTTAATCTACTAAAACCATTATCTAATGCATTGATGAAAATAAAATGCTACTAAAGGCAAAAGATAAATCTTGGAGTTGAATTCAATTGTATCAACAGTAACCTTGTAAACCAACACTACAACCGAAGATCCTACCATTCTTCACCAAGTGACCTGCCAAAAATGTTTATGTGTGGAGGAAAAATCTATTCACATTTTCTTACAAAATATGCCAAATATAGGAAGAAGGAAAGGCAACGTCTCTTCTCATCTCCCTTCATCTCTTTCTCTTTCCACCAGCTCCTGAACCTCGGCCGCCTTTTTTCGCAGCTGCAGCAGATGAACCACCTCTACCCCTGCCCGTTGGTGTCTTCTTTTTGCACTCGAATTTGTTGCGCCCTTCAAATTGAATTGTGCACGCACTCCTACATAGTATGAGGCACACCAAGCCACCAAGCCACTAAATAACAAGAAAATAAATGCAAAAATGAGATCAAAGCAACAATAAACGTAAATTTAATTAAAAATGAAACAAGAATGATATAAACAATAAAGACGATAAAATAAAGCAAGCTTAACTGAAAGAAAATTCGATAACAATTAAAAGTAAAGCAATAAATTTGAATCTTAAAACAACGTAATAGAAAATGCAAGAAATTAAACTTACACTAACGAAATCGAAGAACTGATCTAGTCTATTTGTTTGGAAAATAAAAACCTAGTCAAATCACACAAACCAAGAAATATCCAACCAACCTTTCCTTCTCAAAATACAAATATATATATATATATATATATTATAATAAATATTAATCAAAGCTTAAAAGATCAAACTGATCAGCAACATGTCAATTTTGACTATTCGTTTTATTTAAAATTGTCCCCACCATTTTCTCTCCTTGAGATCCGATAGCCATTTGCGATGTCAAAGCATCAGATTGGCCAAGGAGAGCTTAACTTCTCATCCTTTCTAGCCACAACATCTTAAGCTATGAAGACAATTCCCAACCGAGGATCCCGAAGTATCGAAACTCACTTCAACAGCTACATCGCAAGTGAAGAACTTGAGCTTTGAAGATATGGGAAGAGGAGCTTAAGCTTCTTGACCCGGCAGAAAAGGAGCTTGACCCGGTTGACAAGGAACTTGACCCGGCTGTTTTTGGACCACGCAAGTGAGTGATAAGAGAATACAAACTTCCTACATTGATTGGTTAAGCATTTATTACAAACCAAAACTACCTAGTCTTTCATTTATTTATTGCCATTATAAATAACAATTTCTTTTTTTGGCTAGACCTTGTGAAGTTGAGTCTTAGTTGACTTGAGTTGAGATAGAGACCATTTGACTTCGCTTGAAATTGGGTCTCCTTGACTTTGCTTGGAATTGAGACCACTTGACTTGGCTTGGAATTGGAATTGGAGACCACACCCAAACATTGGTCCCTTGATTCCTTGGCTTGTGATTGGCGAAAGGGTAAGTGAATCAAAATTCTTACGACTTTTCAGTTTTCTCTAGATGTTTCCACTTCATGCTTTACTGTAGTAATTTATGGTGTTTGAATTAAATTGATGTTTAGGGAGATACCCTAATAAATTTTTGAGAGACCTTTGAACTTCATAACTGTTAGAAAACCTAGGCATTATAAATACCAATTTGCCTCCAAATGTTTCTCCATAATCAAAACTCCATTGCCATTGCTCTTATAAAATTCTCTCCCACCAAACATAAACTTTTGCTTCCTAGATTCATCATTTAATATGCCAAAAATCATTCAGTTGTGGCTGTGCAAATTCTTGACTTGCTCAAAGTCTAGCCAAGTCACCAAAGAAGTTCAACTTTTGGCTAAGGCTCTTGCAGATTACCAAGCAATGGCCTTGGGTCCCATCTTTTTGGCCTACTTTAACAGCCTTCATGAGATTATTTTGCCCAAACCTATGTCATGCAATGCTTCAGGCCCGATTTGGCTTTTCCAGCTGTGGCTCCAAGTTTACTTCCCAAAGTTGGGTCCAGCTAACATAACATTCTGAGGTAACTCGCTTATAGGAAAATTAATTGTTAGCCTCTCCTTGCCCAAGCACCATGTTGAGGATTGCTTTCGATTTTTCTACGGATGCTCGAAGAGGTCACCTAGTGACTTATCTATGTGCTTATATCATTGTTACCCGGGCTATTTCAAGTGCATCATCTTCCGGATCTTCGTGGAAGAATTCCACCAAATGAGCGGTGGACCCATGCTCAACCACTTTCTCGGCTCAAAAACCATATAGCCGTCTCAAAGTGTCTTCCGCCGTGGCTCTCTTCTCTTCCTCAATAGTTGCATCACTCATTAATAGAAAAGAAATCAGTCATTGTGGGGCACTCCCCTTCTGCTTGGAAATCATGTGCCCCCAAGCCTATCGATTTTTGAGCCGAGACTCCCGTAAGTCTGCCGTTCTTATCTGACCCCGTAAAATAAAGAAGACCAAGATCATCCTCGTAAAATCTGGCCTCCACTGTGTTGGCTGAAGCCATGAAAGGCTGTGAGTTGGCCTAAACCAGTTCCATGCTCCTATCCTAGGGCCAAAATTATAGTATGATGAAGCGAGGAAGGGACACACATACTTCTGTGGATCCAATCTCGACCCAACAATGCACTAAAGTGAGTCGTTGTTTACATCATGAAGAAGGCTGTCACACTGAACTTTTCCCCAACTCTAACTTGATGCGAGATAATTCCCCTTAATCTTGTGGTATCTCCTACAAAGCCATTGACCGTTGTCTCGGTCAGGATTAGTTCATCTAAACTTTTCTTCAATTTCTTTATCACCGAGGCTAGGAGGATGTTCATCGTGGCTCTTGTGTCAACTAGAACTTTGCTCACCGGCACCCCATCAAAATGAGCACTTATGTATAGAGGTTTAAGGTGGGAAGCCATCCTCTTGGTGGGCATTTTATGGCACACGTTCTCTGGCGTTCTCTTATCTAAACTTGGCATCATGATTTGAGGCTAAGCTACCTCCGCCTTCAGGAGTTCTCGAGTCACCTTGATTTCCTTTGGTTCTCCTATGTGAACCATGGATTCGACTTCATCGAAAACATCCTCATCCATGGAGTTTGATTGACCTGGCTGAGCTTCAAAAAATAGCAAAAATGTGACCACCATGGCCTCGACTTCATCAAAGTCCCCAAACTTCACCTTAGTTCATCCCACCTTCAATTCACTATCTAGCTCAGCCATCTCTTCCTTACGTTCATTAACTAGTTGCTCTAAAACTTCTTCTGTAAGTTCTTCGAAATACTCGTCATCACCACACTCTTCATCTTCCCTATAAAGCTCTTCATCGTTGGCCAAGGTGCTTTTCGGGTTTTCTAAAGCTTCTTTGGCTTATACATCGGTTGTACTGCTCAGCCTTTTCTTTCGCCTCGAGTATTTGAGCATCAACCATAACTTGGTCCTCTTCCGTATCTTCCACCTTTGGCTTGTCTTCTCTCGTATGGGGTTTATCCCTGACATCCTCGACCATTTCATGGGCATTCTCTTTTGTCTCATCGACCTTAGGTGGTAATACCACTTTAGTCGCTATTTGACTCTTAAGAACCAAAGGCTTGGCCTTCGACTGAACTTTTCTAGATTTCTCAACTTTTGATTGCCCATCATCCAACCCCTTCATTGGCCTACAGGATTCGGCCTTGTAATTGTTTACTTCAAGAGCTCCGCTCAAATGAGCCTCCAACTTCAAGAGCTCTGCTCCTATCTAAGGCCGTTACCACGACTCGGCTATTCGCCCATTGCAGGCTCATTTTCATTTCTTCCGTTGCTGCTGCCTCCAATGAAGCCATTTCGGCTTTGGCCAACTCCAACTCTTCCAGCCGAAGCCTTTCTTGAAGCTCAACTAATCGGTTAAGTTGGGTTCGCCTCTCATCTGCCCATTCAAACTCAACATTGCACGTGGTAGCATATTGCATTTTAACCCTTGTTGTTTGAGTCTTGCTCAGAGGTATCAGAGGAAGCTTTGAACCTTTACTCATATACCATTGACATGCCTTAGTGTTCGGCCATCGAAACCTCTGCCTTCGGATGATAAAATTGTTCATGGAAGGTTTGCTTCATGATTTGCCAATTTGGAACGGAGTTTTGAGGAAGTTTGACATACCATGAAAAAAGCCCCTGTGAGGGTACTCAGGAATAGCCTTAATTTCAATGCCTCACAATGTTTGATTTCCGTACATTGAGCCGTGAATATGCCAACATGCTCCATGGTCGATTGAAGTCTGTCTCCGGAAAACAATGCAAAATCCAGAACTTTGAATCCTTGTGTAAACTCCTCTTGATCAAAATGCTTTGGATAAGGCCTCTAGTAAACTGGTATACCAATCCTCCTAGCATGAGACACTATATCTTGGATCCTTTGTTTGATCGCCCCTTGGTCGATTGCTTGGTTTCCTAGTAGTGAATTATTCAAGTTTGCATTCCCACTAAGATTATTCCATTCACCGATTGCGGTGAATTGGTTGATATGAGGTCCAGCGAAGTTGACTCCTGCCCTTAGTGGGCTTGTAGGCGAAATTGGTTATATGGCGGGAATCTTTGGAATTGGTTGGTCACCACATATGGGTTATTACCCATCAGCGAAACATTGACTGCTAGGGCTGGTTGCCCTCAACTGGTGGATTCAGTTGAGGCAGATTCGCCCCCATGATGTTTGGTTAGACCTCCACTTGAGGCCCCGCCATTAGCACTCCATTCAGAGCCACCTAATTCCCATTTTGGCCATTTTCTTGGCCTAGCAATCAATTAAACCTCTCATTTATCAGAGCATTTTAGGTAGCTATGGTTTGAGCCATCTTGCATCTGTTGGTGGTTGAGTTGGTTTGATGTCTCCATTGCTCGGATGAGTTGTTGGATCTCCAACAAAGTGGCCGGGTTCGACCTCAAGACTGGTCCTTCAAAAACTGCCGTAACATCTTCGACCACCACATGGTTAGGGTTGACAGTAGTGGCTCTGCCAAAGCCATTTTGGCCTTGTTGACAATTTGGAACATTTTGTGGTTGAGTGTTCATGGGAATTGAACTAGCTATTCTTGTCTTCGATTCCGAACGAAGTCTAGACTCTTCAAAGTCTTGATCTCTTTTAGGATTCCTCCTAGTGTTTATGACCATACAAAACCTAGTGGTCCCACTAGGTGTGTCAAATTACATTTTCCTATTTTTGGCCAAGGTGACTGACGGAAGGAACTTTTGGTCATTCTTCTCTTGGATTGCATAAGCGTGCCACCACCAAGCCACTGATTGGCTTAAATGGAAAAAATTGGATTGTTGTGTTTGCGCTTCTGACTTCTAACCAGCCGATTAATCGGCCAAGCAAGGAACCTCTCATTGGCCTAGGTTCTTTCAATTCCTCAGGGTCGAAGATAGTTAGGTTTCATATGGGTATTTTAGTATTTTTTGGGCTTTAATGATAATGATGCAAATTAAATTAAAAGACAATTAAACTAAATTACAAGAAAATAAATGCAAAAATAAGATCAAAGCAACAATAAACATAAATTTAAGTAAGAATGAAACAAAAACGATATGAACGATAAAGGCGATAAAATAAACTAATTTGAAAGTAAATTAAACTTAAAGAAAATTTGATAACAATTAAAAGTAAAGCAATAAACTTGAGTCATAAAACAACGTAATGGAAAATGAAAGAAATTAAACTTACACTAATGAAAGTGAAGAATTGATCTAGTCTACTTGCTTGGAAAATAAAAACCTAGTCTAAGAATAGAAAAGTGAAAGACAAAATGTAGGTTTTTGTGTCTGATGTTGGTCTCCTTTGCTCTTCATCTAAAGGTATATATAGGGGCATTTGTCAGCCCATGGACTGGCCATCAAATGGCCAAAGGTCAACTTCGTTAAAAATCTTTCCTTGTGTGGCTTCCAAAATCAGCAGAATTGATTCGAATGAGGTCATCAGATTGCAAATCTGATAAGTTGATTCTCTCCTTCTTAGGAATGTTCCAGATTGACATCAATTTCTTTGATTGCTTTCCTTGGATGGATCTCGTCACATGAAAACATCCGGAAGTTTTGGGCCTATTTCCGCGGGTTGGGCTTAGACCTCCGAGGACTTGACTTGACATATGGTGAGACATCATGGCTTCTAGAGTTTCTAGTTTTGATAAAACATAATCCACTGATGTTAGGTGACTTAGAATTCTAATGAGTCCATATGCATCATATATATATATATATATTATACCCCATATGTTGAGTTTAAATATATATAGATAGTATAAGGCCATAAAGTTGGTCTTCCAACTTTCATCAGATCCTTTTGTATAAAGATCTTTAGGCCTTTTCAAGAAATTTGGCCAAAGTTCATGTGACTTCTTACTCCTCCGTATTAAAGTATATAATATATATATATATAGAGAGAGAGAGAGAGAGAGAGAGAGAGAGAGAGAGTCTGTAGACCACTAGTTGGCCTTTGAGTGAAATCCCAACCAAAACTACTTGGTCTTTTATTTATTTACTGTCATTATAAATAATAATTTCTTTATTTGGTTAGACCTTGTGAAGTTAAGTCTCACTTGACTTGGTTTGAAATTAGGACCACTTGACTTGGCTTGGAATTGGGTCTCCTGACTTGGCTTGAAATTTAGACCACTTGACTTGACTTGATTTGGAATTAGAGACAACACCCAAACAATAATATAATATATATATATATATATATATATATATAAAAATTTGGTCACTTTGCACTCTTCTTGTCGGCAACAAAACAACGAAAGGCCATATGGCCTTTTTCAATTATTTCATTATCTCTTTCCAGCCAAAGTCTATGAACGAGAAAAATGGGCACCCTTCCAGCCACACCTTCTCATCGAAATTACCCCATTAATTATTCTATAACTTTACATCTCATCCCCTCTTTCGTTTCTAAATATCTGGTTCTGAAGAATGGCATGGCAAAGCAAAATAGAAACCAAGACAATAATAGGTAGGTAACTACCACAGCGAGAGTTTTAATGGAAAGGCAAAACGTCACTTTTAGTTCTGGTGGGTTATCACTTTTACAATTAAGGTCCATGTGGTTTTAATTTGATCACTTTTGCTCCTGTTGTTTTAATTTGAAGCAATTCAAGGACAATCCTCAATTTCTGTCAAATTCTTCTAACTTTGGTTACTTATTAAGGGGTATTTCTGTCCAAAATTTATTCCTTAAAAAGAAACAATATTAATATAAATTAAAGAAAATTACAATTTTAAAATAAATATATAACCTCTCTCCCTTTCTCCTCCTAACCCGACCGCCCAACTAATCAACACCCAACCCCAGCCAGCCAGCCAGCCACCACCTTCCTGTAACCCAACCACCATCACAACCACCCAAAATCAACCAACAATGCTTGCTGGAACTTTGAAATCGTTTAGGATTAAGTTCAAACCTTCTTTAGCGACAACAATGCTATGCAATGAAAATCAATTTTAAAAGATTATTAAAAGATTTCTCCCAAACAACCAATCGCCACCAAAGAATCTCCGTAAAAAAATGTTGTCTGCCTTGTTCTGCGCACAGGAGACTATGCTCTGCCCTCAGGTCTGGAACTTTCTCAAAGGCGGCATGGATTGAGACTGAAAATCTCGGAATCGAAGGATGGGCTTCGACGACGATGACATAGAGAGTGCGGGCTTCCGGTAGAATTCCGAGTCAAACTGAGCTGGGGGTTCTGCCGTCGCTGGGCTCTGTGAAGTCGGTGGTCCAGAAGAACGCGGCCTCGTTTAGCTCCTCGCCAAGAAGAAGCCGAGGTACCAATCCGACGACGGCAATTGTTGATGGCAGAAGCTAGTTGAATCCATTGTTTTGAGTTTTTGTTTGTTTGTTTTTGGGAGAGAGCGCTGTTTGCAAGGAGGAATTTCTATTATTGTTATTTTAAAACTAATTTCTCTAAAAATTTATATTTATATTGTTTATTTAAAAAAGGAAGAAATCGTTTAATAATTTTTGGACCAAATTGCCCCTATACAAGTAACAGAAGTTAAAAGAATTTGACAGAAATTAAGGATTGTCCTCTAATTGCTTCAAATTGAAACCACAGGGGCAAAAGTGATCAAATTGAAACCACAGGGACCTTAATGGCAAAAGTTGTAAACCACAAGAACCAAAAGTGACGTTTTGCCCGATGGAAACTACAAATTAGTACTATACTATTCTAAATTTTGACCCCTACCGGCATCTGACATATTTTTATTTTTCAACAGACTTTTACAGCATTTAAACCAAAAATAAATGAGGTTGTTCTCTCTGTAATCAACGTTATAAATTATAACCATAGGCTGGTCTCTCTTCCACATCAAATTTCATAAGCTTTATTTCCACACACTAAGATGGCAACTTGGAAATCGTTTGTCATAGCTATCTTTGTCATCGCTTCATTACTTTCAAGCACACATTCAGCTTTCGCCGCCCCTCGAAAACTCTTAGCCCCAACCTTTCCTCGTTATAAGCTGCCCAAGATCCCCAAGATCCCTAACCTCAAGTTTCCTCCTCTGACCCCCGCACCTTTATGGCCAGAATATAGGTTGCCTCCCCCTATTATTACTTCACTTCCAAATTTCCCATTAACTCCCACATTTCCGTTCTCTCCACCTTCAATAACCACCACACCTTAACAAAAATGGTGGATACATATATGTCTCTGATGAACATCTCAGAAGTTCTCTAAGCCATCAGTTCTTCATTAAATAAAGGTTGTGCATTGATGTTTTTGAAATAATATATGTGCATCGATATTGATGAAAATGTATCAATAACATGTCAGTACGTTTTGTTGGCGACAATTATATCGGCATATTATCAGTGGCATATTGACGGTTTCTGTTCCCGGCCGGACAGTAATATTTGTGGTACTACTATATCTATATGTAGTTAAATAAAGGTTCATAATCACATATGGTATGGGCCCTTCATATGGTGTTGCATACCTAGATGCAAGATCTATTTTAGGGATTTCTGGAGAACTATATGGACCACTCGTGTGTTTACCAATATTGTTTTGTCCTATTATTTGTAGTATTGCTATGAGTGAGAATATCACTACTTTGTTCGTTCTTGTTGAATTGTTGGGATATAATTCCTACTAGCTACTATTACTTATTATGCTCGTTTTACGTATGTATGGATTTATCTAATTTACAACATTAGTGCTTAGGATTATTATGGAGGGTATGAGAGAGATGCTCATTATACCACCACAAAAAGAAAGGCATGCCTTGCAATTTAGAGCATGTCCACCACTGCACCAAACCTGGGCAAAAGGCCCCCCTATCAGCCCATTTCCAGCTCCAGCGCACAGCAATGAGCCCGCGCAAATGGTGGGTCCCACCAGCCTGGGCAAGCCCACCGGCTAATCTTGCTTGGGCACCGAAACTAGGGCTGCTGACGTCAGCATGACGTCAACAGTTGATTTTCAATTTTTTTTTACTATTGGACCCACCAGCCCACATTGCTCAATGATTACAAGCCATGTGGCTTCTCCTGGAGCCTCCGATCAAAAAATCTTGCACAATCCAACGGTTGTCCAATTTTTGGCTAAAAAAAAATATCAAAAAATTTTTAAAAAAATATCAAAAAATTCTGGAAATTTTTTTTCTATACATACCTACCAATATTATTTACTTTCCACACCAATTTAATTTCAAAATTTTATCCGAAAATGTTATCTTGATTTTTAGGTGAGGATTTTACGATAAATATTAACACTTGGGAATTGAAAATATTATCTGAAAAGCTTATCAAAATCAATGGTTTAAGAATAAAAAATAAAAAATAAATTTAAGTGAATAGTAATTGCCTTAGACTTGCTCTAGACTTAGCCCTCATGGGTGGAACCACAAATGGCAAGGCTAACACTATTCACGTGAATAGTGGCAGTCCTTGCTTGCCCTTGCCCTAGACTTAGCCCTTGTGGGTGGAGATGCTCTTAGATGCATCTGGTTTTCGATCACCGTGATGAGCTTTGATGTTTTACTTTTATCAGCTTAACAAAGTTTGACATCTATAAAACGCATGAAAGAAAAATCACCTATTAGTATTTTTTGAGCATGACTTGACTCAAAGACTAGTGAAAAATGGTCTTAACTTGCAGACCAATAGTCACATGTTCAAACCCCTGTGGCACTTTGGCATTTGTGTGTGAGAACACACTTCCCTCCCTAAATATTAAGCTTAACCAGAGATGAACCACCAGCAAATTTATTTATTTTTTCTAAAAAAGTACCAACCAACAAAACTTAATACAAACCAATACTTCGAATTACTTTTGTTAGGGCAAATTAATTAATATTTCTCATGGTGAGATTAGATAAAGACAAACATATTTTATGAACTGGTCATTTATGGCAAGTGATTTTGTAGAAGCTCTGGTTCTCAGATTACTCAATGAGAATTGTCACCTGACGCACTATACGAGCGAAGGATAATATCAAACCACCGTAAACACAAGTTAATCTACTAAAACCATTATCTAGTGCGTTGATGAAAATAAAATGCTACTAAAGGCAAAAAGATGAATCTTGGAGTTGAATTCAGTAGCACCAACAGTAACCCCGTAAACCAACACTACAACCGAAGATCCTACCATTCCTCGCCAAGTGACCTACCAAAAATGTTTATGTGCGGAGGAAAAATCTATTTACATTTTCTTATAAAACGTGCCAAATACAGGAAAAACAAAAGTCGACGTCTCTTCTTTCATCTCCCTTCATCTCTTTCTCTTTCCACCAGCCCCTGAACCTCGGCCTCCTTTTTTCTCAGCTGCGGCAGATGAACCACCTCTACCCCTGCCTGTTGGGGTCTTCTTTGCACTTGAATTTGTTGCACCCTTCAAATCGAATTGTACATGCACTCCTACATAGTATGAGGCACACGTAAATCATGCATTCAGAAATAAAGTGCACCAAAATGACATGAATATGGGCGTGTGTGAGTCCATATGGCTACCAACTACCTTTTGTATTCAAACTTTGAAGTTCCTGTTGCAGCTTCTCACCAGCCGCAGAACCTTCTGACAAAGTGTGAAAAGAACAATCACTAAGTGAACACCAATAAGTCGCAGTCAATCAGAATAGTTAAAGAGTCTTGAAGCATTCTAGTTTGCATAGTTTTTTCTTCCCATTACAATCCTATCATAATCAAATTCATTTCCGAGTTTCTGTTGGCCATATCATAAGAAAATTGCATTAATTTTAAAACAAACCATTTTTAGTGGGGTCAGGTTTCTTGAACAAAAACAAAGAGCAAAATGCGGCATCATTTCAATATTCGCCAGAGATGGACGCTCAGAAAAATAATATATCCTCGAACAGTTCATGAAGGAACATTTCCAAACGCGTTCCTGGCATTTCCTTCTCTTTTTACAATTTTCAGAATCAAAACGATATTCCCAGACAGTATGGAACATTCCCTCCATTTATTTTATGGAGTGCAGCATGTTACCATATGCCATCTTTATTTTGCATAATAATAATTATACAACTTACTGTTCCTGATAGGCGCCACCTTTTCACAAACTGCATTATTCAGAGCGAGATTGCCATTTTTGAAAAATTTCCTAAAACTAAAGCAGTCCTATCACAATGCACTATCTGCAATTATCTAACAAAACAGAAAAAACCTGATGACAGAGAAAAACACATAAGAAAACAGCAACAATATGATTACAGACAAACTTACCCAAGTCCTCTGTATCTGACGAATTTTCTTCTTCACTCTCAACCAAAGTATCATCATTGTTCTCTCCAATTACATCAACAGATGGTTCTAAAATAGCAGCAATCCGCTTCTTAGGAGCCTTCTTCATTCCAGGTAAAGTGACAAAATCTGCAGCTCGTACCATCCTTGTTTTGCTGCCTTCTTTGTAAGCTTTTGTCAGCGCTGCCTTTACAGCTGGTTGAATGCCATCTAGAGGATTTGGGTGCCCCTGATACGTAAGGTATCGATGAGCAAACATGAACAACTTTAGAACAGTAGCAAAGCTGCACCAAGTTAGGTGGGGTTACCTGAAATTTGGATAACTCCACAATAGTATCAAAGTCATCCTGACTAATGGAGTAAGTATTCATGAAATCCACAACTTTGTGTACAGCTTCATCCTGGTAATTTTTTAAAACACAGAAGATGGATTTACAACTGACCTTCAACCCAACTATTTTACATCTTTTGTTATTGATATAAAAATTCATACGCAACCAAAAATTGATTGTTTCCAACCTTAGGAAGTTCACGGAGGGGCACGGTCAATCGTTTCAGAAGAAGAGAAAGGTATTCAACTCGGAGGATTTCCCTGAATAATTTACAGCATAAGAAACTTAGATGCTTTCAAGGGGGACAATATATGACAATTTTTTTGAAAAGATAATGAAAGAGACGCAAGAAGTAGTGAACAAGGAGTCCATCAAAAACAAAGAACTGATACAAGTGAAAACAACGAAACCTACAACAAACACATTATGCTATGGATACTTCCCAATTTAGCAAATTAAGAAGAGAAATTAAGATCCCTGAATTCGGATGTAACTGAAGCCCAAAGGGACGACAAAATCCTCACCCTCTCCCACAGCGCTTCTACCCCCATCCCTCATTTATTGTCAAAAATCCTCAAGATAACCCTCCCGCAACAACCCCATAACACTCTAGCCTTCTTTCCTCCGCCAAAAGCAGCAAGACTTTCACTAAGCAATGAATGGCACCCTTGTGGAATTACCCAACTCACTCCAGCCTCCTTGAATATTCACCACAAGTTTAAAGCTACGGGAAAATGGACAAACAAACAATCTGCATCTTCCTTTCATTTTACGCCAACTTGGAGAAAGGCAGCAATTAGGTCTCTTATTCTGAAGCAAGCCACACGTGCTCAACCTCTTGTGAACCACAAGCCAACCCAAAACCTTTGCTTCACATATCACCTCAGCTGGAGAAAAAACTGACTGATCAGGTCAATTAAATTTCTAAAAACAGATTTTCAAGAGATCTATCCTGAAGATGCCAACTCCCAACGCCTCATACCATCTCTCCCTCCAGACAAACGAACTCTTTCCAACAGCAACAGCAAAGAAATGAGGCAGACTATGATGAGATTAAAACTGCATTTGCAGTAAAGAGAGCAGAACACAAAAAGACTAGAACAGAGGATACTAGCTTTTAGACTCTATCTAGTTAGTCAAACAGAGGATACCCCAAGAAAACATTTTGCCTTACATATCTGAACCTTATGATCAAAGAATCTACGAAGCTAAGTAAATCAGCATCCTAAGAACACCATTGAGTGAACATAGTTTTTGTGCTTCCACCCTATTGCTTTGAAATGAACACATATTTACTAATAAAAACCTTATATAAACTATATGATAAACATTTACTAATCCAATATATTATATCAAAAGTAATCCAGAGATTGCACATGGAAATGTCTAAAATTTTCAAGTTAAAAGGCAAGGAACAGTAGGACAAAAAACTGAAGGGAAATTTTAAGATAACCATTAGGCTCCAAAATAAATATAAAAAAGTTAAAAGTTTCTTTCCTAGGAGACACTGGTAATGTGCAGACAAGAAAATAAAAGTTTACAAAAGGGCGTAAGGTCCTAAGGAGACATTTACCCTTAAAACATCATTGGTTGTAAATTAATTTCAGTCCTTATACAAGTCAACAACGTTTATATGTTGGCATAAGTCATTGCAAAACTCAAAGACAAATGCATTAGGTTAGTGACCAGAAGTTCAAATGTAGAACAGAGACTACCTCCCCGAACTAGATTCACGAGAAGCGAGAAGATGGACATGCAAATCTTCCAAAAGCCTCAAATTTTTTCCAAGTGTTGAGTTCTTTCCCAGCCACCCTCCAAATCTATTAAAATTCCTTTCTCCCTGCAAAAGAAGGCCAACTTGTGACAATAAGCATACACCTCAATGCATATATAACATGTACATTTCACAACATTTGGAAGGTATAAAACCCAAAAACTGAATTTTCCAAGTACCATGAATGTACAAGTCCTCTTTAATAGGAATCAAACCCAACTCTATAAAGTGAAGAAAAGGGACAATTCAGTTGAACCAGTGGTCCAATGAGAACAAAGAGGAATTTATGATTATAAAGAAAAACCAGTTATATTGTCAGGCATTTGAAAGATTTTCAAAAATTTCATGAGAAATTACAATAGCATAACCATGTGAAAATTTACTGAAAGTAAAGGTTCATTCATTTACTAAAGTGACAAACACAAAATTAAAGAGAGCTATTACAAGAAGTGAGACTAGCTGGAAGAGGGACCAACTAGACACTTTCTATGTTGACCCAACCTGCTAGTCATATAACAGAGCAAGGGTCAAATAACCTTGCATTTTGCTTTCCTCGAGAGTTATGTTCCTCAGTTATATTTTTCGGTGTGGCACGGGTCAGACTCCCTAAACCCTATTAATTCTCATAAGGTTAACCAAGCTGTTCTTAGAGCGCTCCTAAGTGATTGATTAATGCTACACTTAGCCAGGGATTGGAAATGGGAGCAAATTTCTTAAGCTAGCCCTGTGGAATTAATCTTTTGTTTTTCTAATCCTTTAAATAATCGTTTGATTGAATAGTCACCATAAAGAGAGACTGTAATCTCTAGTACATTACTTTGTTAAACGCAGCTCCTTAGCACATTTTTCAATAAATTTCCTTGTTGAACTTTCAAGAAATAAGTTCTGCTCCACCATAAAACACCCTACCTTCATCTTAATTTCATAAACAACGATCAGCCCACTAAAGACGAAACTAGCACAGGTTTCACTCTCAAAAAAACCAGCAGAACTTTTTTACAATAGTCTACACTAGCATAAGTCAATCACATAATATCCCAAATATGGCGTATACCTCTGGCATAACATAAAAAAAGGAAAAAGAAAATCACTGGGGACAATAAATGTGAATCGCTAGAGCACACAGAATCAATACATTTTTCAAGGCCACAGAGAGCATCAGTTACACTTATGGAATTTATAAGCTTGCATGTAATAGAAATTCATTACCTGCTCAAGTGTCTCTCTTTGCCCACGCAATAATGCAGCACTGATTATAACAAAAAATTAGTATAAAAATGATACCACGAACTAGAAATTATGAATACACTCATAATGATATTATTTCGACTTCCATAGCTGATGTTAAGAAACATACGGAAAAATAGAGGATGAAAGACAAGCACTTTGGGAAAGCTGCCATTGCCGATATTTTCTAATCTGTACATTGAAAATATCCCCATTGCCAATAGACTCAGCGGCACGGGCAATTAAGTTCATACGTTTTATCCCACTATCATCCTTGACAGCCGAACTTGGCCTATAGTTAATATAATTTTCCTGCCAGAAATTGCATAATAAGCTTAATATATGAGAATATTTAAACATTTCACTACAAATATCATCATTTGGAAAAAGAATAAGGTTAAAATTTGAAAGCGTAAGTGTCCATGTTTGAATAAATGTAAGTTTACATCTAAGTCCATGAAGAATGAAAGTGATCAAAAGAAAATGAAGCAAAATAAAATATCTAATAATTCGTATGGGTACTAGCCGCACTAAGATCTTAAGTCAAATAGCACATATTTAAAAACTGGAGGAGAGTGTGGTGAGTAAGAACACACTAAGCTTCCTTTCAACTCTTTCTTGACTTGAATATTGATATAAAATATATATATATATATATATATATATTATATCTACAGAGAAGGGGGAGAGAGAAAGAGACTGATAGCTTAGAATATACATTTTTATCCTTTCTTCCTACTTCATTGTTATCATACCAAATTACATGAATATTCCAGATTAATCTCATGATACAAATGTTGCTCTTTCTTTTTTGGCCAGAGTCATGATACAAATGTTAAAACAGTTCTTCATATCGATGCAAGTTCAAGTTCTCATAAAGTATTAGAAATTTGTCTGAAGAGCTGTAATTATAGCCAGAACAGTTCAGTATGTGAGCATTGGAATCATTTGTTAAGGTGTATACCACCCATCACCTGTTTGCTTTGGCAAATTTCTTTTACTTGTAAGAAATAAAATAAAAAAATTGTTCACGAGTTCTGATTAGTGAAATTACACACCAAAGGAAACGTCAAAAAAGTATCTTTTAGGAATATGCTCCTACTAAGTTAAGTGTCCCTTAAAAATTCTACTCGCATTAATATCATTTTCAACTGAAAAGCATTCCAAGATAATGCTTCGTGCAGTCATATGTTTATAATTAACCAGCACTCCTGATGTTATTGTTATTACAAATGTATATGATAATTATTAGTTTAACCAGTGACATGAAACAGAAACTGCTGAATAGGTTATCATCCATGCAGCCTGTTAACACTAAGCACTGAAGTCTTTTCTTCTGGCAGTAGTATTCGATAGTGAAACTCAACAGATTAAAATATCTCACTGTTTGTTATATCATTTTTTATTCGGAATATGCCAGCCAAAAACAACTGCGCTACCAAAGCACGCACCTGGATAAGAAGAGGGACTAGATCAGGATCACTCATGCACAGGTCAACACGCTCATCCATCCGCAACTTTCCTGCATTAAAACCAAACAGCCTGCAGGTCGAAAAGACAAGTCAGCATCACACACATGGTAATGGACGCATACTAGAATGTAAGCATTCAACCCAAAACCAAATGGGAAAGGATGGAGAGGCCCAAGATCTTTTAAGCTCTTAAGCTAGGCTTCCATCCTTGGATGTGGGATACTCTCAACACTCCTGAAGGCCAAATAGAGCCTTCACTGACTGGAAAAAGTACCCGTAACAAGATTCTGAGAAGTTAAATTTAACATGAGGGAAACAAGACGCTTTTGGGGAAGGAAAGAAGGCAAAGACTTCATCAGATTGTGGTGTAATGCCCGTATTTTGGGTGGTATGGTTAGAGAGAAACAAAAGGATCTTTAAAAGTTATAGAGGGGAGGCAAACAGAGGTTTTATGGGATACTGTAAGGTTTTGGGCATCGTGAAAGTGGAGGTTTTATGGAACAAGTTACGGTTTTGGGCATCATTATCAGCTCTGGTTTCTTCTGTATTCAGGGAAATACCGCCTCTGGAATTTTTGCCAATTGGAAGGCTGTACTTATTTAAGCTTATGCAATGAATTTTAATGTATTCCTGTTGTACGGTAGATGGTGCGTTGTGGTATTACGTTGTATGTTTTCCATTAAGATTCCGATAAAACTTCATTTCTCAAAATCAAAAAAGAATTGAGCTCAGACCTTTAGTTTTTCTGATTCGTGGATGGTGGGTTAGTTTCCTAATTTCTACATTTTCTCAGTGGAAAGCTTTTCCACTGCATCTTTGTACTGTTCCAAAGTTTATCAATAAAATTTTGTTTTTTATTAAAAACAAAAACAAAGCATATAATTGAGAGCAAAGAAGTGAATCTTAAAGTCATGGTTGAAACAGCAACCTCAAATATTAAAGAATTTTGATGCATAAATCAATCAAGAAACAAAGTGCAGCAAATAGAAATGAATAAGAGAAGACACGCATATCAATAGACAGCAAGATGCAGAAAACCAGAGCCAAAAATAAAATATTGCTGCCATACTTGTCAACAGCTGTGAATGGTGAAATATCTTCATCCTTCGCACTGCTTAATAAGCGCTGCCTTACATCATCATATTTAATGACAGACATTGATAGGCTCATATACTGCAACTGGTTAACTGCCATTCGCATGTCTCCATTAACTTTTTCTGCGAGTTCCTCAAGAGCAATCTGAGAAAATGACAAGAAGATTAATCAACATGGGGATAAAAAGAACCTTTAAATACATGTCAGAAACCAGATAAGCCAGATACTTGATCACACGTAAAACCAGAGTACAAAATACAACTACGAAGGTTAGCACTTAACACAAAAAGAACAAGTACCTAAACTGAGCTAGGTCCTAACAAAGGGGGTAAAAGAAAATTATATTATATAATTCTACAATATAGTCCATTTTGCTTAACAATAGAATTTGTCTCATGCTTGATATTTCCAGAAATAATAATTTACAATATTTGGTGGGGTCCAAAGCTTCTGTAGCAATATAGTACATGATAACTCCAAACAGTTTGACTGTCATCACAATATTTACCTCATTAACTTTAAGTCCTTCAGAATTTGCAATTTGCATCAACCTCTTTGCCATCTACCACCATGAACACAATATAAAGTGTTAGTAACTGCTTCCCGGCAGCAACGTCATTCAAACCTTATTCAAAGGTAAGCCAAATTTAAGAGTCAAAAGGCATGAAATGTCATTTCTAACTGTATTACAAATGCACAAAAATAAAATTTCCTATCCATGCCCATACACACATGAAGAAAAACAAGCACTTCTATATGCAATCACCAATGCAGATTTTCACAACTACATCAGTTCACATGCATGCACAATGGGCCATGGAAGCATATATCTGTATTTTATATACAGGAACGAAAAGGTTTTCCCTCCATTAAATTGGCTAAACATCACACTACATGAGATTTTCCTCAAAAACATAAAGTCAAAAGTGAGTGTTTGAGTGCTGCCCATTTATCGCTGCCAGAGATATTTACATCCTAACTTACAAAAAATAATGCCAAACTTGTTTCCCTGTCCAAAAGAAATAAAATCCAATAACAAATCAATTGGTTCTTTCTTATGGACCAAATCACACCTTTACATTTTAATGTTTTTCTCTAACTGCTTAAAAAAATTACAATTCAAAGGATATTAGTAAAAACAATGATGCTATTAAAAAATCAATTAATCATAAGGACTCATTGAGTATGAGAACTACAGACTTATGGTTGCAAATTAGAAGATAACATAGTTCAAGTTCAGGTACTACAACCCGAGGCTGGAAAGGATAAGAGCTGAGGCTTTGAGAAAAAACATGCCATCGTGTTGTTAGACAACAGATATTGCTATACCCAAAACCAAACAAAACAAACAAGTCTGTAGCATAACCAAAATGTTTTTTGTCAACCTTGGTAAATTTGTTTGACTTCAATGTTTAGTATTCACTACCAAAATGCCAATGAATGGAACAAAGACACTTTTATTGTCGAAAATTAATCTTTCAGTTCTAGGTCAACAAAAATAACCTATTAAACCACTTGTTTAATGATCAAAAATATCTCTCGTACCAAAGAAGTTTTTGTGGCACCCAACATCATGAAGCAACAAAAATTATAACGTTACAGATATAGGAGCATGTTGTGGAATCCTTTAAAATACATTAGTCATTGGCTTAATTAACAAAAAAAAGTTTCTTATGCATCACAACAGCATAAACAATTTAATTTTCATCACATCTGTCAGTTTGTGTGTCCGAGTGCACACACACATATGTCGCAGTGCATACTTTCAATCAATATAGCAAGCCAAATAAAAAAATTAAAAAAATCATTCAATGACAGAGCTCCAAACTTTTTAAACATTGCCAACATTAATAAGAACCAATTAGCAGCATGGTTTGGCAACTTGCAAGTAATTACTAGAAAGAAAGCATTCAAGTAACATATAAGAACAAATTCTTTAAAATACCAAAAATTTACTGTTAGGGAGGTAGGGGGGACCTGTTGTTTAGTAGGTTTCCGAAAGCTGAGAAGTAAACAGTAGTTCACAAGACTTTTCAGTTTCTGACTGTAACGATCATTACAAATGCAGATAACAGGAATTTTAGAAATCTTTATGCTAGCAATAAGATCAGCAACTCCTCCCCGATCTCCAGCAGACATCCCATCAACCTCATCCATAATTAGCACAGTTTTGGGATGCTTCAATCTGCAAATTTAACTAAGAATTAACTAGAGAAAATAAATTCCTTCAGGCACATCCTATGCATAAATGACCCCAAAAAATATACATTATATAGAGAAAGTGTGTAAAACCAACCCATCCATGCTCAGGGCCTTGTTGCTGACAAGCTCTTTAATAGAATTTGCATTGCTTCCACCAATTCCCTTTTCAATCTTGGAATCAGCTTTCCCACGACTGTCACTAGCATTTACCTAAACAATATGCAGGCATTTGCATTGAGTAACATAACTCAGCAACATTCAAATTATTCCATAGTTATGCAAATTTGGTAAAAGTATCGACACCTCAATTGTCTGGAAACCAAGCATCTGACTGACTAACTTAGCAGATGTCGTTTTCCCTATACCAGGCGTTCCACTTAATAGTACAGCCTTTTTGGCACCAGAATTGGTTGGGTTTTTGCCTTTTTTTTATTTCCAGTATCAAGAAATTGCTCATGCCAATGTACCAACCAATCATGAAGCTGCTTTACCTGCATATTAGACATTACATAAATTTTATCAGAATAACAAACTTACAATGGCTTCCAGACAGATGCACATGCAGACAACGATTCAACAGCAGATGCAATGGTGGTAAAGCAATAATTAACAGGCATACCAGTGACTGATTCCCGATAATGTCATTTGGAACCTTTGGCCTATATTTTTCTGTCCAAGTAGAGGCAGAATGCTCAGTAGTTTGCTTCTTACGCCTAGCATGGGAAGCATCTGACTCCAATTTTTGTGGGATACACTTGATGCCAAGGAGCTTCCAGCACAATCTTCTGGAACAGTACATGTCTATTTTATAAGAAAACTTCAATAACCATGCAACTACTTTCTCTTCTTCAAATAAGATGCAACTACTATATTAACCTGCTAGGAAAAGCATCCAAACTCCATATAACAAGAAAGTTTACTTGTGCCCTCCAGGGCATAGGCTCCATCAATGCAAAATACCATACACATGATACAAGATGGGCACACAGAGAGAGAGAGCACTTTTGAAGGTAGAGAAATATGAGAAGGGGTTAAGAAGAAGAAGAAGAATCATCACAAAGTTGACTTTGATCATTTAGCTAAAAGATAACAATGTGCAACATTTTTTTGACAAAAAAATCCAAGTATTATTCCTTCAAAAGTAAAATTGAGACTAAATTTTTTTTGGATATATGGCTACACTTAAAAATAAAAAGATGAAGGAGAATATAAGATAATCGTATTGATACCATCTGAGAGCAGATAATCACAGTTCCTTCAAATCACCCAAATCAAACTACAAGACAACTTGTTTGCTCCAGATTTGTGAAGGGAAGGGACAGTGCAAAAACATATGATGATTATTTGCCTGCAGAACTGTACAGTGCCCAATGCTACATTAATATCTTCGAAATCTCATTTCAATTTTTCCTCCGTTTGGATGGAGTAAAATAACTCGGGATTTAGCTAAAAGTCAGGAATTGAAGAGGAGAAATTGATATTTTCATTGTTTGGCAACTTAAGCACAGAACTTATAAAATGACGCGCGGAAAAAATCATGGAAATTGGGTATCAAGATTCCTGAGTTTAATTTCTGCCAAATGAGGCGTCATTTCGCAATTTCTACTGAACAGGTTTTCGTTTCCCCTATAATTTGTGTCATTTACAAAATTCAACATACATAAATCCAAACACTGATATGACCAAAAAAAAAATCCAAACACTGAAATTATCAACTGCCAGAAATTTAAACGATGGAGATACAAATTCCGTCATTTAAGAATTCTGTGCAACTTTCAATTCATTCATCCAAGCGGAGGGTAAGGTACTTCTTCATTGTCTTTGAGCAGATTGCCTCAAGGACGATATTGCTTAGTAAAGCAAAAGTTATGTACAAATATATAAATAAATATATATATGAATTATCTATAAATGTTTTTATGTATCTAGCTGTGTGACAATATGCATAAACACTACACTGCATAACAACGCATAATTGGACACAACAAGAGAGAGAGAGAGCAAGAAAACATATGCATAATTCAAGTGCCTATATGAATAAAAAGGACAAAGTAAAAACATCGTAAATCCACATAAGAAATTACAGAGTTAGACAGAGAAAAAGATAAAACAAAATGAAAAGCAAGAATGCCCACACACAACAAACTATGTGATATCCAATTAAGCATGGCCCACACACAACAAACTATGTGATATCCAATTAAGCATGGCCCACACACATAAACCCAGTCAAACCAAGAACTAAATTATGAATCTGCCATAAGAATGATAGACCAAAACTACTTAGTTAACTGCAACATACTCTTTGATGCTACTTTATTAGGACTTTTCTTGGGCAAAGATGCTGCTGCCGCATCATCCACAGATTTCTTTGCCTCTGGCACAGATACTTTAGCACGGATAGATGCCCGAATCATATCAAACAGTCCATCCTCAGTGAGAAAAGCAGTACTACAGAATACAATTAAAATTTAGACGATAAATAAAGGAAGCAGAAGTAATATGAAATTGCATCTAGTTCGGTCCAAGATAACAAACCCAAGTTCTTTGGCTTTAGAGGATTTCCTTCCCTCAATATCTTCATCACATAAAAGATAGTTCTGCAAACAGCCTATGTTAATCACATGCCAGCAGTGGTATCAAAATACAAGAAATTACAAGATAGAAACATGAAGTAACCGTTTTCTTGCTGACAGATCCAGTAATACGACCGCCATGACGTTTTATCAAATCCTCTGCTTCCTCTCTTTCCAAACTGTAAGTATGGTAAAATTTTAAACTTCAATCTTATGCTGAAAGATAAATATTTATTAAACTCTACCAATAAAGCAAGGAAAGAAGACATAATCAAATTAATTAATGCAACCAGACAAACATCGTAATTGAAACAACAATATCAACACAATCCTGACAAGTACATGAAGCCGTTATATGTAATAGCTTCCTAGAAAAATCGGTCTGCTGATTGCCAAGAAGGTATGTGCAAGGGATTTTAAATCTACAACCAAATGTACAAACAAGCTTGTGAAAGTCAAACAAACAAATACCTGTCAAGTGTACCACTAATTACAAAAGTTAAACCAGCTAAACAATCTGGAGCACCTTCAGGAACTTCCTGAGACACACAAACAGAGACTAATGGTTAACATCAAGAATAATACAATCATTTCGACAATCAATTCCAGGCATTCCAAAACACTAAACCTTTTCTCCTTTGTGTGGAGGATCTTTTCTATCTCCGAAATTCATAAATCCACCTCGTCCAGCTCCCCTGCCTCTTCCACCAGCTGGTCCTGCCGAAGTACCTCTTCCACCACGACCCCTACCACCAGGCTTGTGAGGAGATTCAGCATCCTTGACGTCATCATCACCACCTTCATCAATAGCCGTAAGTTTCTGTGGGACTCCCACACCAGATGCACTCTTCAATTTCTTACTAGGAGTCGCATCAACTGAGTTCTTCTTCAAATGAGGTAAGACAAAATCATCGTCATCATCAACAACTTTGTGAACTTTTTTTGCAGGTGAGGGTTTCACGGATTCATCAGGCTCCTTGTGAGTTTTTCTTTTGGCTGGAACTTCAGTTTCTTTTTCAGCTTTTGGCTTATCTGTGGTAAAATACTTACTAGTTTTCCTCCTGCCTGAATTCTCTTGACCTCCATGCACCTGGTTTATCACAGATAAAAGCACACAAGAAAACAAACGGGAAAGTTTATTATGACAAATAAAGTTTCGAAATTCCCATGCTCCTGTGTGGACTAGCCAACTTGGGAGGGGGTGGTGTTCTTTCTGTGGAATTTACGTTTTGGTTTGAGATTCTGATTAGACTTTCATAGTTTCCTTGATTACTACAAGAACAAAATACATAACATGATTAAGAAAACAAGCCTCCTTTTCTTATCATTATATTCAGTACAATGTTTGTATATCAATTCTGTTAAAACCACGCAGTGGAAAAATCATTCTACTTTTTGTTTTAAAAAGAACATACAGTGTTTACAAATCATATTGTTGTTTACAAGCAAATAACACAAATTAATGTCTCTAAAACCATTTAAACCCAATCAGACCTGCATCAAGTAGCTGTTAGTTTATCCAAACCATAGATGCTAAAAAGGATATGTCTGACATTTACAGACACAACCAAGCAAATGCAACAAAATCTTAGTTTGTCCCCAAACCAAACCGAAAACTCACTGGTTCTTTAGGCTCTTCCTTAGCTGTAGAAGGAGTCTGAGAAGTAGTTGGCGCAGGTTTCTTGCCATTGCCCTTGTCGTGCGACTTCATAAACCACTTCCTAATATCTGCCTGTGACTTTATTCATCCAAAAAACAAACAAACAAACCCAAAACCCCAATTTCAAGATTTCATCATCAACTTATATAGGGTACGAAGAATCAAACAATTAAAACTTAAAACCCTAGAAAATATATCTTTTCCCGCAATTTCCCAAGAACAAAGAGCATTGTTTCCAGAAACTATAAAGTATCTGAAGTTTGGCTTACCATGTCTGAAGATTAGCTTAAGCTACAATGCGGCAGCAAACCTCTCTGCCTCCAATTTTACGCAACCTATAAAGTGCAAGAGCCGAGGAATTACGTGTTAGAAATATTATCACTATCACTGACTCATACTTTTGACATGCATGTAGATATAAAACCATTCTAGAAATCAAACCCACACGAAAAAATCAACCAAGAAAAAGACTTTACCTTGTTTCAAGAGAGATGACGATTCGGGTCTGGGCGTTTGGGTTTTTGACGGTATTTGGGTTTTGGGATCGAATGAGAGAGCTGAGAGAGTGGGTTTAGCAGAGGTAGATTTGGGTCGGGGTGTTTGGGCGGAGAGAGAGAGAGAGAGAGAGAGAGAGAGAGAGAGAGAGGAAGAGGAAGAGGAAGAGGAGGAGGAGGTAGGGGTGGGGTCGGCTGAGGCTGGTCAATTTGACGGTAACGGGTAGGGTCTCGGTGGAGGTGGTGGGTGGCACAGAGGGGAGTGAGAGAAGAGGAGGTGGGGCTTACTTTTCTTTTTCTTTTATTAAATTTTGTGTTTTCATTTATGTTTACTGGTGTATTCAATCGACACTTTGCCCGACCCAAAAAGAAAATGGACACTCTGAAAGTTGAACAGCGTGGTACTCAAGGTAGGGGTGTAGTCAATTAGGAAAAACAGAAAAAAAATTCTATAGAATAAACCCTCGACTTTGGGATAGACTTATATAACATATTTTCAAGGATTTGTATATAAATTTATTATCTGCTAAAAAGAAAATAAATTTATTACAGGCTTTGATGGTTTTTTTTTATAGATTAGTATTTTTTTTTTTTTTTTTTTTTTATGCAAAGGAAATTACAAAGCAAAATTTTTTGGATACGAAGGCCCCAGGAGATCAAAAAAAGAAAGCAAGAGAAGGAAGTAACGGCAACCCAACTTCCTACAGGAATGAAGGGGATAGCTTATGGCCAAGGTTGGCAAGAGCATCTGCCAAGAAGTTGGCTTAAGTGCAAACTTGATAGAATCGCATAAGGAGCTTAAGTGCAACATATCATAATAGCTTTGGAGAGTTGGCAAGGACCCTGTACAGAATTTGTTGTAGGCAACATGTCAAGCCAAGTAAGAAGAGATCAGTACTAATAGGAGGTTTTAGCAAATTATCATTTACACAACTCCAAATATTATTAGCAAAAGAGCAAGTAAGAAACAAATAAATGATAGTTTCAAGAGCATTATTACAAAGAGGACAATCTGGGTTAATGTGAGGCATAAGTCTATTTAGATGACTTCTAACATTAAGTCTCTTTCTCAAAAGGAGACAAGCAAACAACTTAACTTTGGGGGGAATATATAACTTCCACATTTTCTTAAGAATATGGTTCTGCGAATGAGTTCTAAATCTTTGAACCTATAAATTAAAAGCACTTTTAATGGTAAATACACCAGAGGGATTAGGGCCCCAAATCATCTGATCATCAATACTGGAAATAGGAAGAGGTACTGTTAGAATCTTAGGGGCCGTTTAAGTAACGTTTTGAAGACCCCATTTTCATTTTCTACCAAAAACACGTTCGGTATGTCATTTTCATTTTCATATGAATTGTTTTCAGAAAATAAATTCAACCTCATGTACAAAAACTGAAATAACCAAATTATTGTTTTCATTTTCTACCCAATGTATTGGTCTGATTGCTTTCTTTCTTCTTCTTTTTTGGTTGGTCTAATTTTTCATTTTTTTTCATTTTCCTTTTTTTTTTCTTTTCAATCTTCAGTTTTTTCGTTCTACTTCATTATTTTATTTTGCTACACTAGTGTATATTAATTTTATGATAAAACCATCATATATTATTCAATTTCATATTTATTTTAAACTAAATATAATATTATTTTACTATCTTGGTTTTTTCTAAAATTAGGATTTTTATTATTATTTTAATTATATATTATTATTCTCAAAGTACACATTTTTCATTGTTTGTAATAATTTTAGCATTTAAAATATCAGAAGTTAAACAAAATTATTTTTTAGAACAGAAATTAGCAAAAATATACTTGAAAAATAACTCACAAATTATTATTCTCAAATTGTCCTCCCATACACATTTTCACTATTTTTATTTTTCGAATCTGTTTTCCAATTAAGCCCAGTTTGGCATTGCTGTACTGTGAAAATAATTGCTGTCAGATTTGCTGTGAGAGAAAGCAATTTGGTGTTTGGTAAACTTTTTGTTAAAAGTGTTGTTGGTACTAATTCTCACATAATCATTAAACCCAGCGCCTCTTCAAAACTGATTCATGTATAATTAGAAAATGAAAACACCTCATTAGTTGCTTTCCCTCATAGCTTTCTCTCACAACAATTTTTAACAATAAGTGATTTTCTCATAGTTTACCAAATGGGTTGGGCTTCCTAAAATTATTTAAAAATCACTTATCACCCCAAATAAGCAATGTCAAACGGGCACTTAATCTACTAGACACATTTTCGAATCTTGAAAATGCAAATTCATTTTCTCGTTTTCATTCTCATAAAATATTCTCCAAAAACATTACCGAACGGGCCCTTATCCACTAAGTCCAAATCTATAACTTGGAGGAGCTTTTTTTTGTCCCATCTCTGATTAACAATAGAATCAGAACTATTGATTATGTGGGATTATATCAATAATGGGGAAGGGCAAGGCCCAGTTAGTGAAGGGAAAATTTGGTATAGGAATTGCTAAAATCCCATGAAACTATGAGAAAACAAATCATCTAGCCTATGCATATCAAATATGAAATCAAATAAAGCGGAAGCAAGAAAATAGCTAGAGATTCATGCAAGTCTCAACTTAGTCTTAATCTTTATAGGTCTATAAAAGTTTGCACCTTTGACACTAATATCACATATTAAAGAGAAGGTAGAAAGTGAGCTTACCCTTCGAGCAAATCTTGAATCCAAATATGGTATTCAAGCAGAGGGAATAGTCCCTTAGTTGTTGATTCTCCACTTGGTTCTCTAAATAGGCACAATGAGGTTATACTTTCCAACTGCGAACAACCCAGCTAATATATTAACGAAAGTGCTCAGACCTGTCAAGTTTGAGCGTTGTTTGAACATAGCTCATATACTATGTGCTTGAATATGTTTGTGATTATGAATCTCGCCAAGGTGGAGATTGTTGACATGTGACTTGATACAAATCTTGGTCAATTACTTTGTATCGGTTATCCTTGTTTTCTCTCCATCACAAACTTGTTAATGACTTTACGTATTAGAAGGAAAACCATTTGTTTTGTAATAAAAGGAGCTCACGTAGAAATAATTTGTGTGAGCCAATTTGTGATATTCTCTTTGTACATTTGTTATCTCAATCAGTTAATAAATTGAGAGTTATTTCTTTCATTTTATTTGTTCCATTTGGTGCTCTAAGCACAACAGTTAGTACTTTTTGTATGTTTATGTTCAAAAGTTTTATTTTTGTCCACTCATAATTTTCCTGTTTTTCCCCCCCCCCCCCCCCCCCCCCCCCCCCCCCGCTAGATAGACGTGGACCATACCTACTATGTGATGCCATAATCCTCCTACTGCTCTTCAAATCATCTTCTTGTAAGATTTCCTTTCATTGTACTTGTTGTAAACCTAATCCTGTTATATATGCTATGATATTGCCTTAAACACTTGTGAGGTCTGAGGCCGTCGGTTTGGTTTACTTTTGTTGTGTGAACTTATCTTTTGCGTGCTGTGAATGGAAAATTGGGTGTAAGGATTTCTAAAATCCCATAAAGCTATGAGAGAACAAATCATCTATCCTATGCATATCATATATGAAATCAAATAAAGCGGAAGCAAGAAAGTAGCTAGAGATTCATGCTAGACTCTACTAAGGTCCCAATCTTTATAGGTCTATGAAAGTTTGCACCATTGACACTAATATCACATATTAAAGAGAAGGTAGAAAGTGAGGTTACCTTTGGAGGGTATCTTGAATCCCAAAATGGTATTCAAGTATAGGGAGTTGTCCCTTAGTTGTTGATTCTCCACCTTATTCTCCAAATAGGCACAAAAGAGGTTATGCCTTATGCCTCCCCGAAGTATCTTCACCAAGGTAGAATGAGAATGAAAGACTAAGAAACCAAGATTAAAACAAAATGGGTGCTAGCCTTTTCTTCTTTATGGTGGCCAGCCAAAGGAGACTAGGAAGGAGGCTTGATGTCTTTCTGTCTTCCTAAATGCCTAACTTGAAACCCTAAGGAGGTGTGGTGCTATGGGTATGAATATAAAGAGATATTTTTGTCACTCATGTATCGCCAAAAACCCCCATGTGCCGTACCCTCCCTCTTCTTGGCCTTTTTAGGCTACTTTGGTCCACCACATTAATCTCTTAATGTGTCACACTTTGCCTAAGTCCATAAGGTCCATTCTTATAAATATTTAAGTCATATAGGACCAAAATTAAAGTTCTATAACTTTAATTAATTCATTTAAGCTAATCTAATTAGTTTAATTGATTTGATGACTTAACTAATTAAATCACTATTGTCTACCAAGGATTGGTCCTAGTCAACCTTAATGTTGTTTTCGGTTCGGTTACCGCACCAATCAACGTCAATCGGTTACCGTCCGACAACCTTCGGAATGGTTGGATTGGCTACCGCAACCAGTTCCGTAGGCTGCGGTTTAACGCATTGCAGTTGAACCGCAATGCCGGCCAATTCGGTTCGGGTGTGGGCTTACCGTGAAGCCCAATTCGTTTTCAATTTCAAGCCCTGTTTTGCAGATTTTGCTTCAGTTTCAGGCCATTTGTTTCAACTCTCAAGCCTTTGTTTATACTAGTTTTAGGCCACCTAACTTTTGTCATTCACAACTTTTGATTTTCAAGCATCATATCATATCATCAAAATACATAAGTAAAATTTAGTAAGAAGTTACAACTCTCAAATACAAATTGAAGTGCAATGAAAGCTTTAATAAGTTACAACCCAAATAGAAAATGAAGTGCAATGAAAACGTATTTAAAATTAAATTACAACCCAA